AGGTAATGCCCCATTGCACCACATGCTATTTTACAAAGCCCATTATGCTATAGAACTGCTGGACTATTCTATTGTGTATGTGTACATGATAGAATGTTTGCTAATATCTCTCCTCCTTGCCCCACAGATCATGTGAAGATGAATGCCAGATGTGACAAACGGCCCCTCTGAATTGGTTGTGTAAAGAATGACTGATGGCCCAGTTACAGCATTATATCCCTCATTATGATGGTATTTTAATCTGCCATTTCTCAAGATGCTCTCAATTTTGTCTTGCTATTTTTAAATAAAAACCATTTTTGTGTTGTAAAAACCATTTTTATGAGGTTAAACTCACAAACAAAATCACTTTTCAAAATGACTGGACCCAGGAGTTCAATGTGCATTGGACTCTTATTGCTCTACAACTTTTTGTGCACACTGTAATATGTTTTTCTTCCTCTTCTCTTCTCACTTCTTTCACTTCCACATCCACAGGCAATGACAGCAAGGAGCAGCAGAGAACATTGACCAGAGCAGTGGCAAGTGGTGAGCAAGGAGTGGGTGATGATGGGGGTGTCAATGGAGGCCACTGACCCATCTTGCCAACAGGGCAATCACCTCCTCTTGCATCACAAGAAGAGAAGAGCTCTGGCCAGGCCTTAGGGACATGGTATGCCTTCCTGGCTACATATCCTGATTATTGAGGTGTGCCCAACACCTGCTGGTCCTCCCTGGTGAGGCCATAACATGAGTGGGTAACAGTGTTGTAGGGATAGCATGGCAGGTGGGAATGTGCAGTGTGAGTTTCCTGCCAGTGGCAATGGTGTAATGGAAATTGCTGGCTGGATTTATCCCAACTTGGGGCGGATCTGAAGCAGAAACAGATTTCAAAGAAAGCAGGAAGGGCTCACAAACTGACGCAAGGGAGATGGCGACCGCTGACAAGGGAGTGGTGCTTGTGACGGGAGCGTCGGGCTTCATTGCGGGAAGCGTGGTCCAGCTGCTGCTTGAGCGTGGCTACAAGGTGCGAGGCACTGTGCGTAGCCTCGCCGACGAGACCAAGGTGAGCCACCTGCGCGAGCTCTTCCCCGCGCTCCAGCTCTTCGAGGCCGACCTTCTCACCGAGGGCAGCTTCGACGAGGCCTGCAAAGGTTACCTCCCCTCCCAAATTTCAGGATTGATCATCAAGTTTTTGGCGCTAAACCAAGATTATCGTGATTAAATCGACAATTGTTGATTTACTGAGTGTGCTGAATGTGGGTGTTGGTGACATAGGAGCCGACTACGTGATGCACACGGCGTCGCCCTTCCAGATTACCGTGAGCGATCCTCAGAAGGATCTGGTCGACCCGGCTCTCAAGGGCACGCTCAACGTGCTGCACGCCGCTGCCAAGTCGGGCACCGTCAAGCGCGTGGTGGTTACCTCCTCCTGCGCTGCCGTCGCCTGGCAGGCCACGCCTCCCGATGACAAGGTTAGTCACAACGCACAACGCACAACGCACAACGCACAACGCACAACGCACAACGCACAACGCACAACCAAGGATTGGGGTTAACACACACACATACAGGTGTGGACCGAGGAGGACTGGAACGAGGACTCGACGCTGGAGAACGCGCCCTACAGGCTGAGCAAGACGCTGGCCGAGCGGGCCGCGTGGAAGTTCGTGAACGAGGGCGAGGGCAAGGGCAAGTTCGACCTGGCCGTGATCAACCCGTCGTTCGTGCTCGGCCCGCCCCTCTCGGCCCGCACTGACAGCGAGAGCGTGCGCGCCGTCAAGGGCTTCCTCTCCGGCACCTTCAAGAAGGACGGCTGCCGCCCCTCCTGCTTCGGCTGCGTCGTACGTCACACCACCACCTTAACCCTCTCACCGCCACCTTAACCCTAACTGCATGCGTCGTGTCGCGTGTGTCATGTCGTGTTGATTAGGATGTGAGGGATGTGGCGTTGGCGCACGTGGTTGCGATGGAGAAGCCTGAGGCCGGTAGTCACAGGTTCATCGCGTCGTCGCCCACGGGCATCTCGCACCTGGAGCTGGTCGAGATGCTGCGCGCCGACCCCGAGCTGGCCGCCTTCCGCGACCGTCTGCCCACCACCGAGAGCGCGCCCGTGACCCACCGCCCCAAGTACAGCCGCAGCAAGGCCGAGCAGCAGCTGGGCATCACCTTCACGCCCATCGAGAAGTCCGTCACCGACATGGCCAAGGCCCTGATCTCCCTCGGCATCGTGCAGCAGTAATGATGATGAGCCAGCAGGGTCAGTGGGCTAATGGGTGCTAGATAGCTGTCTCATTACACTCAAGACTTTTCATCCACGAAATAAAAATCATTTTCTGTCTACTCTGTTCTTTTCACTTTTTGTGCACCTTTTGCCATTCATGCTCGCCAGCACTGTTGTCTGGGGAACAAGGCGTTCGAAAAGTTCGCGCACTTGTTGCTTTCTTTGAAGCACACAACGCGCAGGCCCAGTTCGTGACCGACCGATTCCACCCGCCACAACTGATCCCTTCGTGCATTGATCGATCCACGAACGCATCG